AGTGGCAAAATGAAACTGTGAAAGAAACTAAGCTCTGATAGGGGTATTTACCTGAAATTATGTACATGTATCTTGCATAATAAACTTCTCCTGTGATGGGAGAATATAGAAATGTCTAGATTTTTTGCACTGATGGGTTGATGGACTATAATAAATGGTTCTTGTTTTCTTGTTATTTAAAAACACATAGCAAAAAAATTGGTGGAGTTTTTGGGGGGCCGGAATGGATTAATAGAATTTCAATGGGAAAATTCACTTTGAGATGAACAGCTCACTTCCGAACAAATTAAACTCTTAACTCAAGGTATACTTGTAACTTGAAACAGGTTTGGAGAAGGGCAACAGAGGGCAACACATATACACAGTAGTTGAGGAAATTAGGCATGTTGAGCATTGGCTGTGCAAGATGAGAAGCAGGCTTGTTCTCTGCTGGTTCAGAGAGTATGAACAAGTTTAAATATTTTATCAACCATAATGGGAGCCCCTGGTGGCACAGTGGGTTAAAGCGCTGAGCTGCTGAGCTTGTTGACTGAAAGGTCGCAGATTCGAATCCGGGGAGCGGTGTGAGCTTTCGCTGTCAGCCCCAGCTTCTGCCAACCTAGCATGTTCAAAAACATGCAAATGTGAGTAAATCAATAGGTACCACTCCAGCAGGAAGGTAATGACGCTCCATGCAGTCATGCCGGCCACATGACCTTGGAGGTGTCTATGGACAACGGCGGCTCTTCGGCTTAGAAATGGAGATGAGTACCACACCCCAGAGTCGGACATGACTGGACTTAATGTCAGGGGAAAACTTTTTACCTTTATACCTAATGGTTTTATGTGACAGGATATTTAGATTTAGGTTTAACCTTAGGAGGAGTTGGACAATGAGCCATCACATCACATTGTATAATCCAAAGTGCTCTTCCAAAACCAGCACTGAAGAAAAGACTCAAACTCCAGTTGGGCCCAAACAATTGGGCTTTGTTCCTTACAGCTGGCCACATACAGTATCATTATTTGAGCTGATACTGCCCAAAATACCCATGCACAATTCCAACAGAACAGCTGGTAAACAGAGCTTGGAAATTTTTCATTTCTTTTCCTAGACTGCATCTCCCAAAATCCCTTAGCCAGTGTGTGATTGTAAAAAGTAGTGTCTTCCAGTGAGCGTGGCAAGAGTGCGGTTGCCCTGCCCCCTGCTGGCCAAAGCAGAAGGTGACAACTTCAAGGAGACTGATGTATTACTAGACAATTCTCCGCTCACACTTATGAGCTGGCAGTTCGGTTCACCACTGGGCTAGTATGATGGGGTGGTTTACAAGAGTCCCATGGGGCACTCCAAACTCCCAAATGTGTTGGATAATTAACAATCTCACAGGCTTCTCACTGTCTGTTTTTATGAGCCCCAATCCCATTTGCATGACCCTCTTTCTCCATGGCATACGTAACTAAAGGCCATGCTCCATCTCTTTTGAAGTAGGAGAGCTTAAAAAGTTCTGGATTACTTTGTTCTTGCTCAGTGTGTGTCAGAATGCCAACCTGTTCGTATCTTTCGTGTTCGTTTGCACGATGCCAACCGCGTGAGATTCCTCTCTCTTTGCTTCACCATTTTTACCCCTCAATTTTTCTGTTAGTTATACCTTTATTTGGATTTGATCTAAGTTTTGAGCCTTTGTGATGACTTACACAAGTATTTTTGTAAGTAAAGTTCTTTAAATCCCACCAATTTGGTTGATGTTTTTATTTTGGTCTTATTTTACTAGTGCGTGTTATTTATTTATTTAACGACATTTATATCCCACCCTTCTCACCCCGAAGGGGACTCAGAGAAGTTTACAAATTATATGTACATACAATATATTATTATTGGAGCCCCCGGTGGCGCAGTGGGTTAAAGCACTGAGCTGCTTAGCTTGTTGATTGAAAGGTCGCAGTTTTGATTCCGGGGAACGGTGTGAGCTTCCGCTGTCAGCCCTAGCTTCTGCCAACCTAGCAGTTCAAAAACATGCAAATGTGAGTAGATCAATAGGTACCGCTCCGGCGGGAAGGTAACGGCGCTCCATGCAGTCATGCCGGCCACATGACCTTGGAGGTGTCTACGGACAACGCTGGCTCTTCAGCTTAGAAATGGAGATGAGCACCACACCCCAGAGTCAGACATGACTGGACTTAATGTCAGGGGACTACCTCTACCTTTACCTTACAATATATTATATTATTAGCATAGCTCAATATCAGTATTATATATTATTATACTGTACTATACCACTATACTGCAGTATTATTAATAATATTACATGCAATATATAATATATAATTATTATATTATATTGTATTATTAGTTGTATTAGATTGTATTACAATATTATGATCAATGTTATCTGTAAATACATTATATTATTAGCATAGCACAATATTAGTATTATACATTTCTATATTGTATTATACCACTGTACTGTAATATTATTAGTAATATTACATATAATATATAATCATTATAGTATATTGCATTATTGTTAGTATTGTATTGTATTATAATATTATGATCAATATTATATGTAAATACAATATATTATTATTAGCATAGCACAATATCAGTATTATATATTACTATATTGTACTATACCACTATACTGCAATATTATTAATAATATTACATGTAATATGTAATATATAATTCTTATATTATTATATTATATTATTATATTATATTATTAGTAGTATTATATTGTATTACAATATTATGATCAATATTATCTGTAACTACAATATATTATATTATTAGCATAGCACAATATTAGTGTTATATATTACTATATTGTACTATGCCACTATACTGCAATACTAGTAATATTACATGTTATATATAATATACAATTATTATATTACTATTAATATTATATTGTATTACATTATAATATTATTATCAATATTATATGTATATATAATATATTACACTATTAGAATAGCACAATACTAGTATTATATATTACTATATTAACTGCTGTTGCTTTATCAATGGGATGAAATGGGGATGCTGGAACTTATAATTATTATTATTATTATTATCATCATCATATCTCCCTGTGAGGACTCAAGGTGGCTTACACTCCACAATAGGCAAGTTTAAAAGGTGAAATACTTAAAGCTTAATCTATATAAATTCTACCATTTAAATAAGTAATTCCCAACCTTGGAGAAACTGCGGACCACTGAGATAAAAATGGAATCCATCGTGGACCATCAATACCAACCAAACCCTCTCCCCACCTGCCAGAAAAAAAAAATATATAATGCCATATGGATGTTGTGGCATTGAGTAATAATAGACTGGATAGTAGTAGACTCCCAGACTGCTTTTGCAGCCTGAGCATTAGACTCCTGTTCTCGGGCTTCAAGATCCAGCCTGGGAGAATAGGCTCAGCCAATGCTTCCTCACGAAGAGCCAGTGGAAGATTTGACTGAACCAGTGGAAGGAAGAGCTCTCGGGAGGATCTTGGGGTCCTCATGGACAACAAGTTAAACATGAGCCAACAATGTGATGCGGCAGCAAAAAAAGCCAATGGGATTTTGGCCTGCATCAATAGGAGTATAGTGTCTAGAACCAGGGAAGTCATGCTACCCCTCTATTCTGCCTTGGTTAGACCACACCTGGAATATTGTGTCCAATTCTAGGCACCACAATTGAAGAGAGATATTGACAAGCTGGAGTGTGTCCAGAGGAGGGCGACTAAAATGATCAAGGGTCTGGAGAACAAGCCCTATGAGGAGCGGCTTAAAGAGCTGGGCATGTTTAGCCTAAAGAAGAGAAGACTGAGAGGAGACATGATGATAGCCATGTATAAATATGTGAGAGAAAGTCATAGGGAGGAGGGAGCAAGCTTGTTTTCTGCTGCCCTGGAGACTAGGACGCGGAACAATGGCTTCAAACGACAAGAAAGGAGATTCCATCTGAACATTAGGAAGAACTTCCTGACTGTGAGAGCCGTTCAGCAGTGGAACTCTCTGCCCTGAAGTGTGGTGGAGGCTCCTTCTTTGGAAGATTTTAAACAGAGGCTGGATGGCCATCTGTTGGGGGTGCTTTGAATGCAATTTTCCTGCTTCTTGGCAGGGGGTTGGACTGGATGGCCCATGAGACAGTGATGGAGGTTGAAGGGCAGGCCTGGACTGCCTCCTCCTCCTTGCAATGCAACTGCAAGCGGGGCTTCCTTCGTTGTCTCAAAAACAGGTAAGGGACGAAGGATTCAGTGTCACCCTTCCTGCTCTCTCCCTTTGCTCAGTGTTGGCCCCTTCTTGACCTACGCTTGAGGAGACTTCTCCCAGAACCCCATTTGCAACCTCCTTGCAATCCAGCCCCCTGCTACCCACCTGGGCCTGCATATGGGGTTCTGGCAACAGCAGTTTCAAGCCCAGGCAAGGAAGGAAGGATCCAACACTTCAATTCTTGCCCCATGTTGGATCCTTTCTTGCAAGCCCAGATGGCAGGCATCTGGCTCCTTGTGAGGAAGCAATGGGAGGGAGCACGTGCGCACTCTCACCTCCCTTTGGCTGGGCCAAGGGAGAGGAACCCCTCTAAGCCTAGGAACTAACAGGAGCCAGGGCTCTGGGACAAATGAGAAGGGTGTGTGCTTGGGGTGTGGGGGGGATTATCCCCGCGGGACCACTTCCTCAACAGCCACACTGCCCTTCTGGGAAAGGCCCCATGGGCCACTTTTCTGTTTCTTGCAGACCACTTGTGGTCCACGGACCACTGGTTGGGAACCACTGATTTAAATCTTGTGGCTCTCCACTTACTCTGCTCGTTTATGCTCGTTTATACTCTTTGATTCAAATGGATGAAAAGGCAGTCTTGGTCAAACGGCCAGATACTTTTGCCCCTAGGCATAAATTAAATCCATTAACACCAACCAAAGTTTTAAGAAAAAGTCACTGAATGACACACCACTGGTGGGGCTGAAAAGCAGCATACAAGCATCACTCACAGAAATGACAAGCCAATTCGAAGCACTTACTGGTTATCGCTCAGAAATGACGGCGCTGAGTACGGAGCAGATGAATACAGGTCCGGGCTCCACCAACCAGAAGGAGGGTTCTGCAAAGAGAGGAAGCAGGGGTCAAAATGGGCCGTGGTTTGTTCATGGAAACCCCGACCCAACCTGGCATTCAACCAGGTTCAAGACTAGTAAAATCTTCATTGGGGGACCTCAAGGAAGGCCAGGTACCATAGTCTAAAGTTGGGGCCATGGTGGTGCAACAGATTAAACTGTTGAGCTGCTGAACTTGTGGACCTGAAGGTTGGCAGTTCAGATCTGTGGGATGGGGTGAGCTCGCACTGTTAGCCTCAGCTCCTGCCAACCTGGCAGTTGGAAAACATGCAAATGTGAGTAGATCAATAGGCACTGCCTCGGTGGAAAGGTAAACAACACTCCATGCAGTCATGTTGGTCACATGGCCTAGGAAGTGTTTACGGACAACGCAGGCTCCTTGGCTTGGAAATGGAGATGAGCACATCCCCCAGAGCTGGAGATGAAAGAGGAAGCCTTTGCCTTTGTCTATGTATTTGTGTTTCATTATTTCAAGGCACTGAATGTTTGTCTGTGTCTGTGTGTATATATGCTGGAATCTGCCCTGAGTCCCCTCAGGGAAACAGAGCGGAATACAAATAAAGTGTTATTACAATAATAATAATAATAATAATAATCTTTATTTACACCCCGCCACCATCTCTCCAATGGGGACTCGGAGCGGTTTACATGGGGCCAAGCCCGGACAACATATTACATCAAAATAAAACCAAAACATAAACTATTGTTGTTGCTATTACGGTATTGTTGTTGTTATTACGATATTGTTGTTGTCGTTGTCGGAAGAATTAACACAGTTTGAGACCACTTTTTAGATGCCGTGGTTCCATGCCATGCAATCCTGGGATTTGCAGTTTGGTATCAGCCTTCTTTGGCAGAGGGGATTAAAGACCTTGTCAAATTATAAGTCCCAGGATTCCGTAGCATTGCGCCATGGCAGTCAAAGCGGTGCCAAACTGAAATAATTCTATTGTCCTGTAGAAGAATCCTTAGGCAGTAATTAAAGACTTTGATCAAAACCCTGCACTAAATAGAACGGGCCAAAGTTCTGCTCTCACTGTTTGGACCAGAGTGTTTTTATCTGTTCCAGGACGGCTTGGTATCTATCAAGCACTCCTTAGCAAGAAGATTAGAAAAAAAAAACAGAGCCCTTCCTTCCTTCTCTCTCACTTTCTGTTGCTCCCTGCTTCTCCCCCCCCCCCCCCCGTTTCTTCTACTATATCAAACTACGGGAAACTCCCGCTTGTTGGAATTCAACCCTAAACTGCTCAAGTCTGCAGTCCTCAATGAGAAGCAAATAGAATTAAGCTAGGCTAAGGGAATTCCTCGCCCTCATTCTTGAATGTCTGTTTGTTGTTCTGTTTTCTCTCACTCCGACCTTTCGACGTAGAATGGAATTTCTTCAGGATGCACGTTCTTTTGTTTTAAGACCTTGTGGTCATTCATTCCTTTTTCACCTCCATTTCACCCTGACCTCTCTCAAGTCTGTGTGAAGGAGAAAATGTAAGTCTTTAGAGCTTTTCCTTTTGTTTGCCTCCTTAAGCCCAAGAATTCTTTGCAGCCACGTCACTACTGCTTCTGCTCGCTGCGAGCTGAAGTTGCTCTGTTAAACATCCTGTTTTGTATTTTTTAAATACTCTGCTATTTTGGGGGATTTCCCTAACACCACTCACCTCTATGGTTGGCAGGCCCAGCTGGGCGGGAAGGGCGGGCATCCCATAGAGCGTGTTGCCCGACTGCTGGTGCGTATACGTTGAGTGGCAGCTCTTTCCCGCCTCCATGGCGGGGCGCAAGGAGGACATCAGGCTTCGGGTTGCTTCATGGAGGAGGCGGGCGAGATCCCGGGCAGCAGAGGAAAGGAAGGGGCTTTATTAGTGCCACCTGCTCCCACACATGTCCTACAGGAAGGAGGAGACACAGAAAGTGATTAATATCATTGTATTAATGTATTGGCTGCCTTTACAGAAGATTACAGGAGCTGTCTTCAAAGACCTGTCAGTAGCTTATGACACTGTAAATCAGTGGTTCTCAACCTTCCTAATGCCATGACCCCTTAATACAATTCCTCATGTTGTGGTGACCCCCAACCATAACATTATTTTCCTTGCTACTTCATAACTGTAATTTTGCTGCTGTTGTGAATCGTAATGTCAATATCTGATATGCAGGATGTATTTTCATATTTGGCACAAATACCCAATAGGCCCAAATGTGAACACTGGTGAGGTGGGGGAGGGATTGATTTCATCATTTGGGAGTTGTAGTCGCTGGGATTTATAGTTCACCTATGATTAAAGAGCATACTGAACTCCACCAACAATGGAATTGAACCAAACTTGGCACACATAAGTCTCATGACCAACAGATAACACTGGAAGGGTCTGATGGGCATTGACCTCGAGTTTTGGAGTTGTAGTTCACCTACATCCAGAGAGCACTGTGGACTCAAACAATGATCGATCTGAACCAAACTTGGCACAAATACTCAATATGCCCAAACGTGAACACTGGTGGAGATTGACATTTGGGGGTTGTAGTTGCTGGGATTTATAGTTCATCTACAATCAAAAAGCATTCTGAATCCCACCAACAATTACAATTGGATCAAACTTCCCACACAGAGAACTGACAGTGATTAATAAGAGATGTGGTTCACCTACATCCGGAGAGCACTGTGAACCCAAATGACTATGACTATGACTATAAGACTACAAGAAATATGTGTATTCTCATGGTCTTTGGCGACCCCTCTGAAACCCCCTCGTGGCCCCTCCAGGGGTCCCGACCCCCAGGTTGAGAAACACTGCCGTAAATCATTGCCTTCTCTTGAGAAAAAACAATATCACAAAGGTCTACCACCTCACCCGCTTCTTAGGAAATCTGGTACTAAACAGGAGCTTTTTTGTTGAATTCCAAGGCCGGAGAAGCAGATAGAAAAAAACAGAAGAATGGGAGCATGCTTGGTCCATCATTGTTTAATATCTACACAGATGACCAGCTACTGCCAGAAGGGTGAGATAGTTTCATCTATGCTGACGGTCACACTATCACCACCCAAGCAGGAGGCTTTGAAATGGTTGAACAGAAGCTCTCCAAAGCTTTAGGTGCTCTTATTGCCTATTATAGGGAAAACCAGCTATTCTAATCCATCTAAAATGCAGACATCTGCTTTCCCCCTTAATAATAGACAAGCATCTTGACCTCTGAGGATGACCGGGGAAGGAATCCTACTGCAGCTTTGCAGCACACCCACATACCTGGGAGTTGCTCTGGACCATGCTCTGACCTACAAGAAGCGCTGCTTGAATATCAAGCAAAAAGTGGGTGCTTGAAATAACATCATATGAAAGTTGACTGGCACAACCTGGGGATCACAACCAAACACAGTGAAGACATCTGCCCTTGCGCTTTGCTACTCTGCTGCTGAGTATGCATGCCCAATGTGGAACACATCTCACCACATTAAAACAGTGGATGTGGCTCTTAATGAGACATGCCGCACTATCACGCTCTATACCACTGGAGAAATTATACTGTTATTGCACCACCTGACATCCGTTGGGAAGTAGCAGCCTGTAATGAAAGGATGAAGGCAGTGACATCTCCAGCCCATCCTCTGTTCAGATATCAGTCAGCACACCAACGCTTTAAATCAAGAAATAGTTTTTTAAGATCTTGCAGGAACACCTCAGCAAGTAAGAGTCCAAAAGAGGCAGGCTAAAACCCGGAACCTCAAGCAGTGATGGATACCGGATGAGAAATTCCCTCCTGGGCACACAGAAGGCTGGGTGACTTAGATGGCACTGAACAGACTGCGCTCTGACATCACAAGATGCAGTCAATCTTAAGAAATGGGGCCACAAAGTGGAATCCACGACATGCGAGTGTGGAAAAGAGCAAACCACAGATAACCTACTACAATACAGCCTGAGCCCTGCCACATGCACAATGGAGGACCTTCTCACAGTGACATCAGAGGCTCTCCAGGTGGCTTCTGGTCAAAGGAAATTTAGCATAATGCCAAGTTTTTAACTTTTCTTGCGTGTGTGTTTTTTTTTTGTACATTATAACCGTATTCTCAATTTGCTTCTGACACGATAAACAAATCCTTGAAACCCTAGGGAATTCCTAGAGAGGTATTTTCTAGGTCATCTGGGGCAACGCCTCCTGGTGGACACACATTATTGAATAACCTGGAGGACCTAGACAATCACTGAGATATTTTGTTGTGGATACAGGTATCTTACTTAAAAACAAAACAAAACAAAAGATTCAGATCATAGTTTTAGCTGGGGCCCATGGGAGTTGCAGTCCACCAGCGTCAGAGAAGCCAAAAGCTTCCTCAACTCCTGATTGAAGGGATGAGAAAGCTGTAAATTTTTTCCACTTAGTTCCACCAACCCTTGTCCTTTTACGAGCAGAGCTGTCCCTTTTTATTACGCCATAAAAACTCCAGTAAAATATTAGTGGTTTAAAAGTGTCAGTCGGGGCTTTTTTGAGACAGACGGGATGTCTCACCTGGAGCCCTATCCACTATACTCCAACGTCTTTTATAGTAAGACTAACTTTTACATCTAGCGTTGCTGGTATTTGCATTTTCCTTGTGGCTCTTTCTTTCCTCCCCGTTTCCCTTATATACAGTATATTCTCCTTCTCTCTTTGCTTTGTTTCTTTCCTTCTTCTCATGCTTTTCTTCATTCAGTTCTCTGACTTCCCTTGTTTTTTTTTGTTCCTTCCCTAACTTCCCCCCTTTTCTATCCTTTCTTTCCCTCTTGCCTTTCCTCATTTTCTTTCTCTTCCTCCCTTCTTCCCTCCCTGTTTCTTCTTCCTTTCTTTCTTGCATCTCTTTCTCTCTTCTCTGTCTCCCTCTTACACCTTTCCTAGCTTTCTCCCTTTCTTTCTCCCTTCTCCAGCTCTGAGGAGGCCTCTCTCACAATGCCTCCATGGCAACACTTCCTAATAATGCTCTATCACTCTTTCATTTATGAACTCTCTTCCTCTGGTGTAGCTTTTCTATCTATCTTGTGGCCGCTTCTGAGTGCTACACACATCTTTTGTTAATTTTGGGGGTTCCAGCTCCCAAGAGGGACTGATATTGTAGTTCAAAATTCAAAGCTGGAGAATGAAGGGTATGAATACCAAATTGGGGCCGGATCTGTCAAGCCATGTAGGAGCCTTTTCGGGCACAAACCAACATACATGCACACTTTGCCTGTCTTTGTTGCTTAGGTGCCACAAAGAGAGCCTGCACACTGTTGCCATGGAGACAGAGCTGGAGAAGGAAGAAAGAAGGTAGGCATGGGGGAGAAGAGAAAAACTGGGAAAGAACCAAGAAAAAAGGGGTAAACAGAAAAAAACTGTTTTCCCCATTTTTTCCAGGTTTTTTTCCAGGCCTTCTCATCTCTAGTCCTAACAGTATCTGGGCAAGTGTTGTAGATCAGCCAGAGCCAGAGGTTTAGAGAAGATTGTGGGCTTTCATGTGGCACAAAGTGATGGGAATTCAGATCTAGGAAATGATGTTTCTCTCTGTGAGAAAACTGCCTCGGAAAGTGCAGGGCACCAAGGTCAGTCTGAGGGGTTAGAAGTAGCAACAGCAGATAAGGAATCAAGTGAAGAGATGAGTGATAAGGAAGGTTTCCAGGAGAAACCAACTATGGCTACGGAGATCAACAAAAGTCTTTGTTTGCAAATCAGAGACTAAAATACGTAATGCCGGTCTGAAAGATTACATGGGAAAATTGGGGTGAAAATTCACGGAAGACGTAATGCTTTCATGGGTGTCTATTAAGCAGCAAGTAGTTTACTTTAAAGCAGTGTTTCTCATCCTGGTGGATGGGACCCCTGCGGGGGTGTCATGAGGAGGTTTTAGGGGGGTCACCAAAGACCATCAGAAAACATATATTTCTGATGGTCTTAGCAACCCCTTTGGCAGGGAAGGCTGAAGATCTCTCCGCCTATCCTCTTCCTTTTATGAAACAGACAGCAATCCTCTCACCAAAAGCCGTTCTCCGCTGTGAATGGCCGGCCTTTCAGCCAAAGCGAGGGGTGTTTCTGAGACTCCATGCTGGGAGGGGAGAGCAGGCATGCTCTGCGCATGGCAGTGTGGCATGCATGTGCAAGCAAGGGAGAGCATGTGTCAGCAAGTCCCAACAAGGCATGGAGGTTCTGTGTGGGAAGTTTGGCCCAATTATCTCATTGGTGGGGTTCAGAATGCTCTTTGATTGTAGCTGATCTATAAATCCCAGTAACTACAACTCCCAAATGTCAAGATCTAGTTTCCCCAAACTCCACCAGTATTCAGATTTGGGCATATTGAGTATTTGTGACAAGTTTGGTCCAGATCTATCAGTGCTGGAGTCCACAGTTCTCTCTGGATATAGGTAAACTACAACTCCAAAACTCATGGTCAATGCCCACCAAACTCTTCCAGTATTTTCCATTGGTCATGGGAGTTCTGTGTGCCAAGTTTGGTTCAATTCCATCGTTGGTGGAGGTCAGAATGCTCTTTGATTGTCAGTGAACTATAAATACCAGCAACTACAACTCCCAAATGACAAAATCAATCCCCCCTAAGCCCACCAGTATTCAAATTTGGGCCTATTGGGTGTTTGTGCCAAATTTGGTCCAGTGAATGAAAATAATCCTGCATATCAGATATGTACATTACAATTCATAACAGTAGCAACATACAGTTATGAAGCAACAATGAAAATAATTTTCTGGTTGGGGTCACCACAACATGAGGAACTGTATTAAGGGGTCGCAGCATTAGGAAGGTTGAGAAAGACTGCCCTGATCAATCCCAACGCCAAAAGCTCTGGTTTTTTTCCCACCATGATGTTATCGTTCGAAACCCCCAAGAGGCCGACGTTTAATGGGAGGTGCTGCTCCCTCCTTT